TGATTTACTCTTTAAAAATTATCAATTTAAATTTTATAAACTTTAAAATTATTAGAGGTTCAAGGAATCTTAGAATCAATTACAAGACAGGAGTGTAAATCCATGTATAACAAAACATAAATCAAAATTTCATCATCCTTCTCCTCAAATTCGACCCCCTCATCAACTCAATTATGTGCTCATGAACAAATCCTTTCTTTGCTAGAATTAAAAAGTCCAGGAAAAGGCACAACATAACAAAATCTTTTGAACAAATTATGAAAACAAAAGTTCATTCGTTAGCTACTTATTTTATCACAATGTTTAATATTAACTTTTAAGGGATTTACTTCCTGGGTTTAATTATTATGGTCAACATATAAGAGAACTCATTAAATTTATGGCAAGCTTTCCAATAGGCATGGGTTTGGAGAGTTGTCTAACCTAACATTTTTGGGTTTAGCTACACGGTGAGTCTAAACAAAAATAAATCTAGCAATTTGTTAGACCTATATATACACTGAACCCAAACAAATATGGATTTAACAAGCCACTAAACCCAACATCATTGAGTTAAGCAATTTATTGAGCCTAAATTAACATGGATCTAATAAGCTGTTAGTCTCAATATTTTTAGGTTTAGTTACGCGCTTAATCTAAGTTAACATTAGTTTAGCAAGCTTCTAAACCTAATATTATTGGATTTTGGTACTTGATTAGCCCAAGTAGACGTGGGTCTTGCGAGCTGTCAGACCCACCACTCTCGAGTTCAGCTACTTACAGAGCCTCTAGCGAGTTGCCAAAACCCACACTTTTGGGTTTAGCTACTTGCAGAGCCCAAATGGATATTGGATCTAGTGAGCTGCTAGATCCATTGCTTGTGGACTTGGCATCATGTCAAGCCAAACTGGTATGACATCATTATAAGCCCCATGCTCGGCTCTAGGATTTCGTTTGTTTATTTTTATGATTTTTAATATAAAATATTAAAGTTAAGGATATTAATCTTTTTATATCTTTAGGTATATAAAAGTCTGCTAAAGACCTATTATATTTTCATTGGCATTAATATTTTGTAAAGAATATTTATTCCTTATTAATATTATGCAAAGGATATTTGTTCATCTCTTAAAGTTCTATAAGAGATATTTATCCTTTATTAATACTATAAGAATGAAATGACTTTTCAACCTCTCAACTCCATTAAAATAATAAGATTCAGGAGTTATGAATATTTCCTAAACCATACAAGTAAATGGTTTATAATCTTTATTTTTATTTTTTATTGTATACATATTTTTAAATTGTTTGTTTACATAATCTCATTGTTAAATGATTTTTTATTTAAAATAAATAAAGAAAAAATCGAAGTGTATAAATTGAAAGATTGTTAAGCAAGAAAAGTGTGTTTTTTTTTTAAATATTATTGAATTAAGCGTAATCAAATTCTATCAAATAACTATTTAATTACTTTAAAAGGATTAGTTAATTTAAGAAAAACTAGCAACCCTTCAAATTAACTCTATTTAATTCATTTAGGAAATTAATATTTTCACGTTACTATTTTTATTTAAAGCATGTTAGTGCAGGGGAGATTACTTTTTAAATTATTTTTTATTTGAAAATATATTAAAATAATATTTTTTATTTTTTATTTTATAAAATTCATTTTTGACAAGCAATCAATATTGTCGTGTTACTCAGTCCCATACTTTCTGAGAAAATGAAGATTGGTTTTCCTTGTTGATGCTGAGAAAGACTTTTTGGGTTGACACACATTACCAACCAAGTACAAAACAATTCCTTGTTAATATTATAAATTCCTGTGTAGTTTATTCTATCTACCAATCCTCTAATTTTTTGTGACATCCTCTGATTTACTAAATTTTTTCCTATATTATCAGAATATATAATATTAAACTCATTTCAATTTAGTTGGTTAATTGGTTTATCATAATATAGCTCATGTCGAGTCTATCATCTTAGATAAGTTGATCTAATTAAACATATTATCATGTTAAAAAAGCTTATGAAACGTAAAAAAAAAAAGGATTTTTTTTTTTTGTAAAATTAGCAATTGACACGGGTTTGATATCTACGGATTGACTAATTTTTTTTTACCTACTCTAATCTTGTGACATACTAATTTCAATTTATTTAAAAAATGACTTAATCGGTAATGTAAAATTATCAGAATATATGTTTCTTTTTAACAGTAACATTGTAAGTTCATATCTAGTCAAATACTAAAAAACACATCAACTTAAAATTTAATGAGCCATACATATTTAAAATTGTTAATTAAAAAAAAAAAAAACCTGAACTCATCGAAGCTAGACTTTTTTCCAAAATAAAGCTTTTTAAGCTGGGTTTAAGCACATTGCTTGAAAGCATAGGTTTTTGAGAATTAAGTAATCGAGCAAGACTTTTTTTTTTTTACTTCTTCGTCACTCATAACAGGAGTGTTTGTTTTGTATAAATAATTTACAAAGATTTCGTTAGTATATTCAATCTATAAACTTAATTTATTTGTTAAAAGACTATTTTTTTTCTCAACCATCCAATCTTCATCTTTATCATCATGGTAACCACTGCCAATGTTACAATTATTATCTTTATTTTTATTATCATAACAATTAATATTATAAAAATGCAACTCAACTGAGGTTATTGATTTACTTTTTAAAAATTATTAATTAAAATTTTATAAATATTAAGATTATTGAAAGTTTATATAATTATTAATTTTAATATTTATAAAATTAATTAAAATATGAGTAAACTAGTTCGGATATCTATATTAATTAAAAAAATTAATATCATCATTATATCAATATATGAATAGCATTATATTTATTATTTTTCTTTTAAAAAAATTTCGTGCTCATTGTAAAACGCCCCCAACGCCCAAGTCCGCAAGCACGAAACCATCGCCTGTACGTAGTGAGGAAATTGGGCTTAGATATTTCTACACATTCCCTCTGTCAAACTCTCTCCTCTATTTGGGTCTCGATATTTCTACACATTCCCTCTTTCCATGTCAAACTGTCGTGACTTTGGGCGGCAATAATTTCCACACCGCCCCCTGCCGCCTGCTCTACCAAAAAAAATCCACACCGCAGGTTGAAAGGCCATGAAACGTGCTGACTCCGGAGCCATTCGGTAATCTCACACTGCTGACCTTTTTTAATCTCAAGTAACAATTTTGATGGTAAGATTCCATCGTCACTTGAAACCTCACTCACCTGAATCTTGGTTTCAATAATTTTGTGGGTCATATTTCAGATTCCAGATTCTTTGAGTGACCTGACTCAAATTTCAAATTTAGATTTATAAAATTTAGAAAGCCCACTGCCGTGCTAGTAGTAGAATTACAATTCAGCCCTGTGCATTTTTAGGATTTTGGGTATAATTATTATTATACCCCTGCCATTTATATTTTGTTACAAAAGAGTTGTTAAGTTGAAAAATCTTTATTTAATTGATCCTAAAATAGTTTCCAATTTTAATATGATTAATTTTCTTATTAAATTTTAAAAAATAGTTTTTCAAAAAAAATTATTCAATAAAATTTATTATGTATGGGGAATTATCAAATTGTATTATTTTTTTTGGTTTGATTTTAGATTAGCCCTCAATAATTTCTTTACCATAAATTAAATTTGCCTGCCTATACAATCAAGTTAAACAAATTACAGTCAAATTGAAGCAAGTGACATCCTGTGCCTATTGGCCTAGAAGACAACATCAACAATACCTGTATTCCCCTCTGACAGAGATATAAAACAACAGCGTAGGCAACATTTAGAGAGATTGCCTCTATGAAGAACCTGTGTTGTTCCTTTTGGTATGCTAATCAGCACAGCAGCAACGACTAGACTGCCTCCATCCACCACCTTCGTTTGGAGACGGGGATACCTTTGCGCATGAAGTTCACCATACCTATTATTCCTGTGGGTTATAAATTTATTTTTATATAATTCTCCTTGCATGTAATTCAATGTTTCTTAATTAGTTATGTAATTTAGGAAAAAAAAATTATTTTACAATTCAAGATGAAAAAAAAAATAACGATGAAAGCTACAATCAAGTTGCTTGTAAAGAACATGTGAAGATTTGCTAAAGGGAATTAATTTAGATTTATCCATAATCATCCAATTAGAATGACTTGTTAGAGTTATATATTTATATATAAATTTTTATGTATGAAATATATAGTTGTTATATTATGTTTTAAATAAAACCTATTTAATTATCATATTCCTAATTAAATATTAAGTACAAGTTGAGAAGATGAAAATAATTATTCAAAATTAAAATAAATTAGATTTTTAAATAATAAATTTTTAAACAATTCTAAATTTATGTAACAGAATTATAAGAACTCCCAAATAATTTATTATTATTATTTTTGGTTGTGTGTATAATAATTAGTAACCCAGCATTTTAATACAACAATTTCATCATCATCCTCAAATTTCGATCCCCTCATCAACTCAATTATGTGCTCATGAACAAATCCTTTCTTTGCTAGAATTAAAAAGTCCAGGACGAGGCACAACATAACAAAATCTTTTGACGAAAATACATGGAAACAAAAGTTCATTCGCTAGCTACTTATTTTCAGGTGGAGAAGATCTAAATAGAATCTATGACAAAAAAAGAAAAGAAAAGAAGGAGAGACCAAGTTGTTAGTGCTCAATCAACCTTGGTATTTGTTTACTAGAGAAATTGAATAGAACAGCACAATCTAAGATTGGTTTTTCTATAAATACTAATAATAATGCCTTTCTTTATTCCTCATCTTCCCCAAATCTTAAAATTATATACAATAAACAAAGACTTTGGGGTCAAGAAAAATGACAGGCCAAAACTTAAAAAAAAAAAACACAATAAAAAAAAAAGACTTTTGGATAAAGACAAAGACTTTGTTTACTCCATATTTTGAATAGCACAATTAATCATGATTGGTTTGTCTATAAAAAGTACTAATAATGCCTTTCTTCTGCATTTCCTTCCTTCAATATCCCGCATTTGCTTTGAATCCTGAAAAGCCAACATGAAGTATTATTCATTATCCCTCGCTCAGTTTCCCTGTTCCATTTTGTTTCTCTTGTATTTTCTTACAACAATTTCATCATCCTTCTCCTCAGATTTTTCCTCTTCTACTCATTTGTGTAGTCATCACCAAGCTCTTTCTCTGCTTCAATTCAAACAATCCTTTTCCATTCAGAGTTCTCCTTTTTGGTTTGCTAGAAACTATCAATATGATCAGTATCCCAAGACAGAGTCATGGAAAGAGGGTACAGACTGCTGCTTGTGGGATGGGGTCTCTTGTGACCTGAAAACCGGGCAAGTGATTGAACTGGACCTCTCTTTCAGCATGCTTTACGGAACCCTGCATTCCAATAATTCTCTCTTCTCTCTTCATCATCTTCAAAAGCTCGTCCTCTCTTACAATGATTTCAACTTCTCCAAAATTTCTTCTCAATTTGGTCAGTTTTCCAATTTGATGCATCTTAACCTAACTCATTCAAATTTTGCAGGCCAAGTTCCATCGGAAATCTCTTATCTCTCCAAATTGCTTTCCCTTGATATCTCAAACAAACATCTAAGTCTAGAAACAATCTCTTTTGACAAGATTGTTCAAAACCTAACCAAGCTAAGAGTACTCTATTTGGATTATATAGATATGTCTTTGGTTGCACCTAATTCCTTAATGAATTTGTCCTCTTCCTTGACATTGCTTTCACTTGTGGGTTCTGGATTGCAAGGGGAGTTCCCACGTAACATCTTTCTTCTACCAAACCTTGACTCACTCATTTTGGCAGACAACGAAGGCCTCACTGGCTCTTGTCCTTCCTCCAATGTGAGTAATGTCCTCTGGCAGTTGGTCCTGTCTGATACAAGAATTTCAGTTCATTTAGAAAATGACGTCATCAGTAAGCTTAAGTCGTTAGAATACTTGTTCCTTAGCAATTGTGACATTCGAAGGACAAATATAGCTCTGCTTGGTAATCTCGCACAGCTTAGAATATTAGACCTCTCACAGAATAATTTGAACGGTGAAATCCCACCATCATTTGAAAACCTTTCAAATCTAGAGAGTCTATATTTATTTAGTAACTTATTCAATGGGACAATACCATCCTTCCTGTTTGCTCTTCCTTCTTTAGGTTATTTGGACCTTCATAGCAATCATTTCATAGGCAAGATAAGTGAATTCCAACATAATTCGTTGGAATACCTTGATTTAAGCAATAATCACTTCCACGGTCCAGTCCCAAGCTCAATTTTCAAACAAGAGTATTTGGAAGTCCTTATTCTTGCGTCCAATAATAAGTTGACAGGTGAGATTTCTTATTCTATATGCAAGCTGAAATACCTTGAAATCCTTGACTTGTCCAACAACAGTCTGAGTGGTTCTATTCCACAATGTTTGAGCAACTTCAGCAACTCTCTCTCAATTTTGCATCTAGGTATGAACAATCTTCAAGGCACTATCTCTTTAGCATTCTCAGAGGGGAATAGCTTGGGATATCTCAGCCTCAATGACAATGAATTGGAAGGGGAAATACCATCATCTATCATCAATTGCACAATGTTGGAAGTTCTTGATCTTGGCAACAATAAGATTAAGGATACATTCCCCCATTTCCTAGAAAGGCTTCCAAAGTTGCAGGTTCTTGTTCTAAAATCCAATAAACTCCAGGGTTTTGTGAAGGATCCGACTACTTATAATTCATTCTCTAAATTACATATTTTTGACATCTCCAGCAATAATTTGAGTGGACCATTACCAACAGGGTTTTTAAATAGTCTTGAAGCAATGATGGCCTCGGATCAAAATATGTTTTACATGACATCAAACAATTACTATGGCTTTGCCGATATTTATGCCTATTCCTTAGAAATGACGTGGAAAGGATCGGAATTTGAGTTTGTAAAAATTCATGGTATCCTCAGAGTACTTGATTTGTCAAGTAATGGTTTCACCGGTGAGATTCCAAAATTGATCGGAAAGCTTAAAGAACTCCAACAACTTAACCTCTCTCACAATTACCTTACTGGTCATATCCAATCATCATTAGGAATTCTGACCAATCTAGAATCATTAGATCTATCTTCAAATTTATTCACCGGAAGGATTCCTATACAGTTGGTAGATCTAATATTTCTTCAAGTCTTAGACCTTTCATATAACCAGCTTGAAGGACCCATACCCAAAGGAAAGCAGTTCAATACGTTTGATCATCGGTCATTCGAAGGAAACTCGGGTTTGTGTGGATTTCCAATGCCAGAAGAATGTAGCAATGGCGAGGCACCACCATTACCACCATCAAACTTTATTGCAGGAGATGATTCAACATTGCTTGAAGATGGGTTTGGATGGAAAGCTGTGGCAATTGGGTATGGATGTGGGTTTATGTTTGGAGTCATAATGGGATATGTTGTGTTTAAAACAAGAACACCTGCATGGTTTCTGAAAATGGTTGAAGATAAATGGAATCTTAATGCAAGCAGAACGAAGAAGAATGCTAGTAGAAATGGTGCAAGAAGAAAATAAACAATGCAGTCAGTATCTTCAAAGTTCGTTCTGTAAGCTGTTTTCTTTCAGATTTTGTAAGTATAGAACTATAAGTAATCATAACTACAGTTATATATTGTATAGAATGTTTTATAGTATTTAATTATGTATAAAATGTTTATGACCAATAACATAAATAAAAATAGAATTTATAAATATTGAAAATGATAGGGACCAATTATGTAAAAATTATAAGTTATAGGGATCAAAAGTGTGAGTGACTGGCTCTATATTCAAAGAAGAAACAGTGAAGCACAATTATATATATATATATATATATATAT